GAATGTGCAGAGCGTTAATGAAGGTAACAAGAATGTGCTGAGCGGTAATGAAGATGACAAGAATGTGCTGAGCGGTAATGAAGGTGACAAGAATGTGCAGAGCGGTAATGAAGGTGACAAGACTGTGCAGAGCGGTAATGAAGGTGACAAGAATGTGCAGAGTGTTAATGAAGGTGACAAGAATGTGCAGAGCAAGAATGGTGGTAAAATGAAACTTGTGGTTACATTTTTGTTTCATATGGTTCAGAATGGACCCTATGGGAAAATGTGATTCGGTTCGCAACCAGAATCGTGGAACCAATTAAGTTCGTGAACTGAGGTACCACTGTATTTGCGTGGGTATTTTGCTCATTGACATGAATGTGCCCAAATCTGCTCACAAAAACGCACGACTTAGCATACGTGCGCAAAAAGCACTCATAAAAGACACAAGTAAAACGTGCTGAATAGACGTTGCTCAGGTGTGGATCCAGCCCTAATGTGCTCACATAAAACACGTGGAAACTCCAAAGGCCTTGGTGTGAATGCAGACTGATACTATCAGACTGGCTGCTTTCCAGATATATAAAATATAAAAGGGGTATTTACAAGAACAAAAATACATACTGGGCTGCTGATCCAGGAATTTATCCAACTTCATTCAAAGCGTTAAGAAGAAAATAATTCTTGTTAAAGTATTTTTCCCCCTCTGGCTCAATGGACATGAGTCTTTTTCCAGCTCACGAAATTATGCAACAAACATTTTTATGCCCATTACTAACCAAGGTGTGGCCTTCCCCGCCCCCTCCCAAGTAAGAAACCAGCCTGAAAGTAAAACTGCTTAAAAAAAATACCAGATAGCTTTTGGAAATGATTCATCATTTAGCTGGCACATGACCAACATCTGCCTGTTGAAATCCGCAGCACCAGAGCAGAGTAGAGCAGAGTAGAGTAGCACAAATGCCACAAACGCCCAGCAAGAAAGCACTTTTGTTTTATGTTCACACTGCCTGCTGTATCTACCACCCTGGATGCGTTGCTTGCTGCATACACAATGCTGTACAAAACGAAGGTCTTTTAAAAGACACTGCGATACGCTGCCAAAGCCGTGCACCCCCTTTACAATGAATCATCCACGTTATATATTCATTATTTCGCACATACCTGTAAAACCTGTTCCCAAGTTATACTTCCATATAAAACAAAAAAGGAATTGAAAAGTTTCTTCATGAAAAAGGTAAATAATTGGGTAAGTCCATTTAATTAACCCTGAAAATGCTAATTGCCTAGCTGCGGCTGGTCTAATTCATTTCTGATTTAAGGTCAGGTCAGTGACTCAAAGTCAGAGCATCAGCAAGACGGCCAGGAAACTTGGACCACTGCAGAGGAGGGGGAAGAGACGCTGCAGGGACCGATCTAAGGATAAGCTGGCTCAGAGCATCAAGGAAGTGAAACTGTTTTTTGTTTTTGTTTAACCTAGACAAGACGGGCAGTTAACCCTTGCAGTATGGGGGGAGCCCCACTGCAAGGGTTAATTTTAAAAAAACATTTCCTGGCATTCTTCTTTCAGGCTTAACAAAAAAAAATCCAACAGATTCCCTCATCCATGCGAAACAGCAGGGATGGCGGAATCTCCTCCTGCAGCTATTGTATTTTGACACTTGGCGCCACCGGCTGTCGAATTCCTGAACAGTTCCTGCATTTCATTGGTTGCAGGCGCTGTTCCGCTGACAATTTTTCCACCAGACTCCTTAAATTTTTCAATCAAAGAATGTCAGGCAGAAGGCGGCAGAGACATGGTCACACAACAAGTGAATTTCAGTCAGTTCATCAAGAACCAGCCAAAATTCACTCAGTGTATAGCCAGCTCAACACATTCCCTGCTCCTTTATGACCAGGTCTTCCTTACATGACTGATTGATGCACTAATAATCAATCAAGGGCACCTCATGACCCGCATCCCGACTTCCTGATTGGCTAGGAAGCCGGCTTCATGATGCGCCGCCCGGCTTCCTGATTGGCTAGGAAGCCGGCTTCACTTATTGGCTAGCCGGCCAGTCATGACGTGCTGCACGGTTTTCTGATTGGTCAGGAAGCCAGGCTTCCTAGCAATAAGTGAAGCCGGCCTCCTAGCCAATCAGGAAGTCGAGAGGAGGGTCATAACCCGCCGCCCGGCTTTCTGAGGAAGCTGCCTCCATGCTCCTTACGGCATTGCTGGTCAGAGGAACGTCTCCCTCTGACCGGAAGTTCCAGTTTTGGAGGTAAGCTTTGGAAAATTTGGGCGAGTACGAGTACCCGCCCAAATACTCGGTATTGGTATCCCTAGGTATTACTGTTCAACTTCAACTAGAACTTGAAATATACATATAATGCATCCCTTAGTTCAGGGGCCACTGAACAAATAAGCACTTTTTACCTAGAAACTGTACTGCAGACAGTTGTGTGATTAAGCCCTAAAAATGTCTGCACACAAGCAGATCCAGATGCTCCTCCCCCGGTTCAGAAAAGCTGATCTGGCCATGCATGCTTCAGATTCAGTTATCCTATGACTGGATAATCCATCAGCTGCTTCAGATATTTTCACATTAAATGCTGGGCATATGAAGTCAGATTAGGTCTGAATTGTCTAAAAGAAAAACTTGTGCTGAGAAAATATATGTCGGCTGTCTTTGCTGACCTGTCCGGAAAATATTGGTTATCTGACTAAAATACTGATCCATCAGCTTCAATATTTTCTGTATAATTAACTCATGACAAGTATGCAGATCAGGTATTCTGACCATTTATGCTGCATGCTTTTCCTGGGTCAGTAAATCAAAGTATTGAAGCCTCCGGCAAAGCACATCAGGCAGTGTATACAAAAAAGCCTGCCCACCCAGGTAAACCACTGCAGAGGACAAACTACCGACTGAGCCCAAGTGTGTACTGAGCGGAAGCATAGCCGCAGCCAGCCCCTTTTGCGCACATGGCAAGAAATAAAAGGTGCCCCCCAACAGGCGTGTGATATCACCCAGCGCCCTGCCTCCAGGATTTTTTATTTTATTTTTATTATTTAATTATTTTTTTTTATTTCATTTTTTTTTTACTGTTGGGAGGGCTTTGGGGAAATATTAGGGGTCTAAACAGCCCCCTAATATTTCCCTTTTAAAATAGAAAAAGAAATTGAGGAAACAGAGTCCTCAATCTCTTTTTCTGCAGCCCTGTTCTAAATGAATGGAGAGCACAGAGGCTTCCCATTCATTCAGAAAAAATTTACTATCACCAGTTTCTGAATGGGGAGGAGCCTCTGTAGTGAGTGCTTCTCCCCATTGAGGAACTCATTAACAGGAAGTGATGTAAATCACATCCTGTTCATTCATAACTGGGGACAGATACTACTATGTGTCCCCAGTTATTTACAAACACTGGAGTGATCAGCTGATCGCTCCAGTGTTTGTCCTGCACAGAGGATTGGTACATTGGTTTCACGGGACTCTAGCTGACAGCTGAGTCGCCAGAATCGCTTCTATTGTAAAGCCGACAGTCGGCTTTACAAGTTTAAACAGAGTCCCGGCGGGAGTCTGTTTAAACAGCCCCGATGCCTGTGACGTACACTGTACGTCGTCAGTCACGAAGGGGCTAAAAGTAAAAAAAAGTTACCAAAAAAGGTTAAAAAAAAAAAAACAAAAAAAAAAAAACTTACCTGTGTCTCCCCTGCTCGCTCCCGGCTGTAGATCTGAAGCTTCTCGAGTGGCCGTGCAGAAGAATGTGTGCGGGGCGCATGCGCAATAGAGATTAACGGCGGGGAGAAGAGGGAAGACCCAGTGGAGGTGAATGCACGCAGCTGGGAGCGTGCACATCAGACAGACACCGTGGGTCACGAGTAGTCTGCGCTGGATCAGAGACTGGCACCAGCGCTGGAGGGATTGCTGAATACGCGTGAAAGGAAGAAGATGATCGGATCAAGAGGCATCATTTAAGGCAAGTCCTTAACACCTTCGTGACTGACGACGTACAGTGTACGTTGCCAGCATCGGGGCTGTTTAAACAGACTCCCGGCGACTTTTGCCGCCGGGAGTCTGTTTAAACTTGTAGAGCCGACTGTCAAAAACTGTGACTTTAATGTCACTTCAACATCTTCATTTATTACCATTACTTCATATCTGGAAGTTCGTACTACTACACAATCAATGCATCCAGGGTTACTGATTGATTCCCAACCGCATGTAATTGTATCACATACATGCGGTGTGCCAGCGTTCAAATGCAGTGGCTGTCACCCAATCATTGACTTGAATGGGTGAGCGCTGCTGCTTGTAAATGGGATTCCTGCTGCAGGAAAACCCTAATAGGGAAAATCCCTAATCGCACCTAAAATATAAGTGTTAATGGAGCCTAACGGCTGAATTTAGTGTCACTTTAAAATAATCCAAAATTGTGACACAAAGTTCTCATACTCTGTGCCAAATAAATAACAATTCAGAAAATGTCAGTATTGTGCACAACAAAAGTATACAGCAGTGTACCATCAACTTCTGATCGCACAAATAATCTCTACCCACTGCGACATAATAGATTATTCAACATGCAATGCACCCAACTAAGAGTAAGGATGATGGTGCAGACCAGTCACACATTCTACTATGCGCTGTGACATAATAGATTGACATGCGATGCACCAAAATAAGATGTCAGTGTGACAATTGGCATTCCTCATCATCCACCAATGGTAGTTTCTCTAACATTATGTAAACAAAGAGAAGACAACTCTAATCCTGCAGATATTATAAGAAGTGAGAGGAGGCACTGGGATCCTCACTCATTAGGGGCAGTTACCCATGACAACAGCCCTTATAAACAAAACCAAAGCCTGTGGTAAGAAAGAACGCGCCATGTATACAGCGGAGAGTGTGCAGGCGGCGGGTGTCAGATATGATCCGCTCTCTACTGAGGCTCAGTCATGTCCCCACACCCTCCACTGTCACCACACACACCACACCCCACCGATAAGAAGCGGGAACTTAGCCCGGATCGTCACCGACCTGTTGATCTCGGGGGGGAATCCTGAAGCAGCGGGCGGACCAAAGGGCGGGGAATAGCACTCGTCAGCAGGGCGGGCGGGAGGAGAACTGTAGTCCCGAGCGGAAAGGGATCGCCTCAGCCATTGTACTCGCTGCACAGGCAACCGGACTACAATTCCCAGGGTTCATTGCTCACCCACCAGCCCCAGCTATCGATTGCTTATTTCGCCTTATTTAAACCATTACATTTATTAAAATAAAAAACTGCACGTATTATAAATAAAGCGATCCAATCGTTGCCTTCACAATAAAATGCCTAGCTGAACTATTTATTATAAATGTGATAGAAAACACATTCCCATAGGTAACAAACAAGGGTCATGTTACGTTTTTTTATTTTGGTCTAGTAAAAACTAGCCCTTCGTGTAGGCCTTTTGTCCGTGCCAGGACGGTAAAAATACTTATTAAAGTTTGGTGTAAAAAAAATAAATAAAAAAAGACGGGCGTAACCTGCCTGTGCGCATGCCCGCTTCTACAGCTCTTCGAAATCGCAACTAGGTCAGCCTCCAGCCACGCCCAGCGCTCTTATGTCTGGCGGCTCGGTAGGTCCACGCCCTGTGCTGTAGCCCCGCCTTCCGCAGGCGTCGCCCGTTCGCTGCGTCATTGTGTCGGTGTCGCGCTCGGTGACAGGAGAAGGACAGAGATACGCACGTATATATTTTATATTTTCTAACTCCTTTTTTTCTGTTTTCGGTTTGTGTCTTGCCCCTATAGCTGTAGAGTGATCCGTACGGTATGCCCGCCCCATTTCTGCGACATTAATGTGCATGCTTTACCATATCATGCTCTTTTTTTCCTAGCACAGATATATATCTTTGCCGTAACTTGAAGGCAGCTACAGTTTGATTTCTGTTGTACGATTATAATTATTATTTTGTTTTTTTGCTAAGCTGACATCTATATATGTGAGCAGCGTGGAAATGACTAATCACGTATAATGAATGGGGTAGATGATTGTGCATGATCTGTATTTATAGAACATGATGACATCAATAATGTAATATTAATTGGACACCACGTCCTGTCTATAGCTTGGTATTTTGTCATAGCTGACCATCTTAGCACATGCTTGCCTCATCCTCTGTTTCCTCATTTTCTCTGTTGCAATCAGTATGTAGAGAACACAGGAGCAGACATCACTAGGTGGGGTGGAATAGAAGACCACCATCAGCAAACAAAAGGATAGAATTTCCGATTTGCATGGCAGCCTTTGAGGAATGCATCCATTGTATTAATGTTCTAGTAGTAGGCCATTACCTGGCCATACTAGCCCTCTGAAATGGAAGCTCTCATATAAAGTCCACCTTTAGTGCAATTCATTTATTTGTTTTAAACATATTGGCTCCTTCTGCCCCTTTTTAATGCTTGCTGTATTCAGGGATGCTTATCTCCTTAAAACCCTGTAAACATTATCACAGGCGCTACAGCAATCTACCGGCTTCAGGTGGAAGAGGGCCCCGTGCATCACTTCCGATACTCTTCTCCCCAGGCGAGGTGGATAGTGCTATGTCAGGGGTGGACAAATTAATATGGAATTCAGGAGCCGGTCTGTCCAATCCAGGAGCCAGCTCTATAAACTAGAGAAAACTCTCTCCTGGGATTCGTCCAGCCCTGCACTATGCTATCAGTCACAACCGTTTGGGGATTCTATAACCCACACTGGCATTGGGGAGGAGGGTTTTCAGCAGTGAATGCACTGTGGACCCTACTCATCTACTAGTGAGACACCACAGGATTTAACAGCTTGGCAGTGATGCAGTCATTTTACTGCAGGGGAAATGGGGAAATCAGTATTGGCACCCACTTACTGATTTCCACGCACTGGTAGATCACCAGGTATTTTAAAAGAGATGCAAATTGCAGTTAACAATATGCCCAGGGTCATTGCGGGGGTCACAGCAGCTGGGTGACCACAGCATCCCATGTTGCCAAGAGCTCTTAGCAACCAGTGATGCTCTGTGTGGTGCCGCCCAGCTCACTGATGTCACCTGCTGACAAGAGCCGAGATGCTCTGGCTTGCATCCCGCCTAGCTCCTGGCATCCAGTGATGTTTGTGACCTCACAGGGACACCGGACGGAGCTGCTGACAACGCAGTCTGGCATCCACCACCGCCCTCTTCAAACAAATCAGCGGTGCATGCCCCCCAACTACCCCTGAGAGCATACCCCCCTCCTGGAATGACATCATAAAATGACTAGGTTTTTTTTTTTGTTTTGTTTTGTTTGTTTAAGTTGACCATACATCTACTTCAAGCATACATTTGTATGTTGAAAGGCACAGAGGTACAGCAATAGTGCACGTGATGAAATTTCAAATGATAACTGTATCATGCATGTTTTTCTAATGTTGTGTGTACTCAATTTGTACATGTGCTGTCTAAATGCAGTGATTGTCAGCAACATGGCCGAATCCAGTGTGCATCAGTCTTCGCACATATCTTCATCAGCTGGAGAGAAGAGCGGCAGCTGTGCAGGTACATATATAAACTCTGTCCATGTTTTAAAATATGCCAGTATTTGCACGCCATGCATACATTTTATGAAGGACTAGTAAATGCTGAAAAAATGGCTAACACACAAAGATCTATTCCCACAGTGACACATAATGTTTCAGCGTAAATCATTTTGGGTTTCATATATAAAAAAAAACAAAACATTAAAGCGGAACACCAAGCAAAAGTTAACTTGGCTTTTCAATTCTGTGGATCACATGCATCCTATACAATGTCCTTTTATGTGCACAGTGCACTCTCTTCTCTTTAACTCTGCGGCAATAGCAGTCACTCATGGTCTGATTTGTTAAAGGAAAAATGTCAGTGTTCCCTTCACAGCCAGCCAGGGAGGGGCTGCAGTGCCTCCCCAAAATCATTGATGTGCCCCTTAACCTATGTTTCATATTGCTTTTCCAGTTATTTCTTTCATGATGAGTGCGCTCACTCATTACAGTACTCACTTCTGATGCATTTTAGATGTAACTTTGCCTTTCTTGGTAACCTTGCTGCTCAGCATTCTTTTGAGGCCATCCGTCCTCCTGTAAACAATCTCTCATTGTTGGTTACAGAACTATGCTAAATAGTAGAGTCCTGATTGGCTCCCTTTATTTTTAAAGCCCCTGGTATGCAGGGGTTTTTAGAAGGCTATTATGAAACCAATTTAGGGTAGTTATACTAATATTTAATTAAGAATACAATTATTTAATTAAAAAAAAAAGGATAATCAGATTTGTTTTCATATTTGCCTGGAGTTCAGCTTTAAAATTAGCAGGGTTGCCTACAGTACACAATTGTGTTTTGCTGTTCTTCAATGTCCTCCACTGGAATAGTGACATATGAATCGCGTTTCTCTTGTCAGTAGGTTGCCCCAGTTTATTTATCCCAATAAATGAAATGCAGTGAGCACTTACAAAATATATATTAGGTTTAAAAGCAGATAATACATGAAGTGTATACCGGCTGTCTCTATCTAGCAGTGACCAATAACACTCAAACAATATAGATAACTCTGCCACCAAAAGCAGTCAGCAGATTTTAGGGAGCAGCGCCAAGAGATAAAGGCCAAAAAGGAAGAAGCCAGCAATAAGATAGTTTGTGATGGGTTTGCTATCTCTATGTAAGAACATTAATTATTGACTAGGGTATTACTTGAATGTATTGAGTAATACATACTACCTAAGTACTACTTTGGGCTTTATCGCATCATTTTTGCTGTATTGTAATGTTATTACAGCTTAAAGCCAACTTAAAATCATAATCAGACTTTAGGTCTGCTCATCACCCATGCTGCCTACCATCTCAAAAGACCTTATAAGTGCTGTTAAATTCTCAACTGTCTCTTGAAGTGGTTTAGTTCAGAGTTCAATTTTGCCATAATGCCACTATATCAGCTCCTGTAAGGCCAGGCTGTGAAGCAGAGGTATTGATTTGCTACACAAGCAACCAGTGCTTCAAAACAGAACTGCCTTTGGGGAATCAATGGGCTGGTCAGGCCCAGAGTCAAAATTATCCTTGTGTCAGGTAAGCATTTGTCAACTCTTGCTAGTTTTATCAGATGGAAGTCAGCATGGGAGATGGGCAGACCTGATCTTTAACCCCTTCATGACTGAGGCCCTTTTTTCAATTTTTGCACCCATGTTATATTCCACATTTTAGGCCTGAAAATGACGTAAAACCCCCCAACATTATATATTTTCTAAACTTTAAGGTTGTCATTCTTATCCTTGCTTCATTAAATTTCTGATCACTGTCCTAACACCTGCTATGCAAATGTGTTTTCCAAGTAATCACCAATAAGAAATCAGAATAAATATGACCCTTTCAGAACACACACCCTTAAAAACAACTCGGCAAAGAAAATTGCCAGGTTTCTAACTTAACCTAAACAATTCCTTTCAACATTGGTGTTCATATTCCCTGAATAGACATGTAGGCCAGAAAATGCATGCAAGTGTAGGATCTTTACCAACTCCTTTTGAAGTCCAACAATATTTGCAAAATGCTTCAAGGCTCTTAAGATCACTTGAAGCATTTATTGTAATTGTTGAGTGATTTTGTTAGAACTTCCTTTGTAGCCTTTATTGTAATTGCTGAATATCATTGTGTTAGAACATATTTTTAACCTTCGTTGTAACTGCTGAGTATCGTTGTGTTGGGTAATTCTTGCTGTTAGGAAAGTAGTACAGCAGACACCCAGAGCTTTAGGTTGTAGAGTCAGTGATCAAGATATATGGTTAGGGCTCAGTAACACTAGATGCAGTGCTTTCCGGCCCGATTTTGGCCGGAACGCACTGCCTCGCATTGCGGCCGGCCCTACCACGCCCCCTCCTACCCCACTAAAAAGTGAGCCGGCCGCAATGCGAGGCATCTAGTGTGACTGAGCCCTTAGTTCTGAATTACATTCAAACATATGCATCTAATTTTTCTGTAAAATTCAAGCTTGGTCTGGTCAACCCCCTCCTTCTGTGCCTCCATATTGGCTCTTAAATATAATAGGTGAATTCACTGGAAAGCAAGTCTTTTGGAGTGCAAGAGAGAAGCCAAGATAATCTTTTATAGCTAAAGTTAAGATTTACAAATTTCAGCTACTTATATCTGTGTATCGACCATGCATAGTGATTTTTTTTCCGGGGGGTGGGGGGGGGATCCAGTGCTTCAAGAGACAAGTGTGTGTGTGTGTGTGTTTACTATAACTTGGAAAATCTTTTTAACGAGCACTGTAACATAGTCATGTGAAAAAGAAACTGCACCCTCCTATGAATCCTAAGTATCAGGAAATAAAAAATGACATTGTCATTTTTTTTATTTTACAAACATAAAGCCAAAATGAGAATTTATGTGTGGAAAACTAAGTACACCCTTACTGCTTCTATAGAAATTAAGAGGCTAAGTAGCAGCCAGGTGCTGCTAATCAAATGCCCTTGATTAATTTATTATCAGCAAGTGTGACCACCTCCTATACAAGCTGAAGTTTTAGCAGTTTGCTGATCTGGAGCATTTAGGTGTGTGTTAACACAATGCCACGGAGGTATGACATCAGCAATGATCTTAGAGAAGCCATTGTTGCTGCCCATCAATCTGAAAAGGGTTATCGGGTCATTTCCAAACAACTTAACTCCTTCATGACCAGTGACATACAGTGTACATCACTGGCATCGGGGGGCTGTTTAAACAGACTCCCAGAGGTTTTTGCCACCGGGACTCTGTTTAAACTTGTAAAGCAGACTGTCGGCTTTACAGTAGAAGCGATTTTCTGGCGGCCTAGCTGCTGCCAGATCACTTCTACGGGCCAGTGAACAGGTCCCCACCCGCCACCCCGCTGTGTTTCCCAGGCTCCGTTGCCCCTCCTACGGGCCCAGGACCGGCGTCTTTGGTGTCGGCGGGAAGCTGGGGAGGAGATGGGCCAACCTCCGTTCGCCGATCCCCTCCGTGTTCTATGGGACCGGGAGCGATGCAGATTCCATCACTTCCAGTCCCATAGCTGTTGGTGCTGGGCGTTTAAAGATTCAGCACCCTTACTTTGCTGATTTCATAAAGTAGGGGCAGCAACACACCAATGAGGTCATACCTTTTCTTATTCTTCTCTCACCTCCTTGCCAGCTGCAAAAACGTGCAATATAGCTAAGTCGGATTGGCTCAGTACAGATTGGCTTGGACAGCATAGTTGGATAATAAATGGTATCTTGACAAATCCCTGTTCTACCTAAAAGTTAGATGTTATAAGGCAGATTAGTGATTCATCATGTAAATGGATAGTAAACGGATTACATTATACCAACACAAAGTTAGATGTGTCCCTTTAGAAACCTTCAAAGATTATATTAATTGCTGTGGTAAAAATGTAGACCGCGCATAGCTTCCCAATAAGAGAGTTTCTTGCAAGGAGAAGATTGGTGTTGGCAGCGCTAGTATAATAGTCGTCCTAAAGGTTTACATCTTTTCCTGTTGATGCAGACAGTATGTAGTAGACATGTGCGATTCGTTTCGTTCCGAATCGAAATTCGGACGAATTTTCGTAAATTCGGACATTCGGATGTATCCGAATTCCGAATTACAGACATAACGAATGCAAACGAATCCGAAATTCGGTAGCGTTCGCACGAACGTTCGTTTCGTTTTCGGTTCTTATTCGTTTCGTTCGTTGGAGCAAAGTGACATTAGAGAAGGAGAAAAAATATTTTTTTCCCCCTCAAATGTCACTTTTGCTGCAAACGAACGAAACGAATAAGAACAGGAAACGAACGTTCGTACTAACGCTACCGAATTTCGTCCGAATCCGAATTCTGAATCCGAATTGACTTTCACACCCGAATCCCGAAAAACGAAATAACACAAATCCGAATTTAAAACGAAACGAATTTTTTGGCAGTGCACATGTCTAGTATGTAGTAGAGTTTCACCAACAGTGAGCCAAATGGATACTTAATGAACCTTTGTGTAATATCTTTGCATTGTCCTTGCGGTAAACAGGTTGGTTCCCAAGTTGCCAAATCGTACAGATAAGCTGAGAGTTTTTCATGGTGATTGTATTTCCAGGGCTATGGGGGCAGTAGGAAAAAGTAATGTTTTTCAGTATAGACCTAATCTCCCCCAAAGTAAATGTTTATGCAATAGGTGTAATCTATGTCAGATAGCAAAGTAGACCTGCAACAGCATAGTTTTCTGATTTGAAGATTTTCAATGCATATTAGGTCCCATTCACATTTGTGCATTGTGACAATGTACCCTAAAATGCATTTGTTGCTGTGCATTTCCACAATGCATGGCAATTAACCTTCTTTGTGCAATGTGTTAAGTTGCCATTCATTGTAAATTGCACACCAACACATTGTACAGTAGAGCCCAGCACACAACTTACCACAATGCATATACCAAGCATTTAGAATTTCTTAAACGGTCATGCAAGGTTTTCTTTTTTTTTTTCTACCGTTGTGGTGCATTGACAGTCATATAGATGTTTTTCTCCTGGATTTAAGATGTAT